CACAGATTTCCTTATCTTTGTGGGATAGGCAACTTCTTCAATTCTCTCTCCCCTCCTCTGAACCAGTTCCCCAGGTCTGGCCTCTTGCTCTTGAAGTTGATCTATCAGGTCCATCCAGTGGTTAGTTCTTCATTGTCCTCCTCCACCAACTCTTCCACATCCCTCCCCACTAAACCTCCAACCCCAAGGACCTTTCCCAATGCCACAATGGATCCCTCAACTGGCACAGGATTCTCAGGGTTAGACCTCAAACCCTTCAAAATCCCTTTTGTCTAACACATTCTGGCACACATTTCTTCCAAGCAAAGAGTTCAAGGTTCCCCTTAGTCACTTCCTCCCAAGCCTTACCTATAAGTTTTACACAATTGAGGATATTAAATGATCTCTCCAAAACTCTCTTAGAGTCAGTTGAGTTTCTGAGGTCATTACAAAGCACCTTTTTAAACAAGGGTTTGTGTACAGTTTCTTGAAGTTGGAAAAAAACCTGCTGGTTTCCCTGGGCTGCAGGAGAGGAGTGGTATTAGGAGGCAAAACTTCACCTTAATGAAGCTCATGTCCCCATAAAGTCGCTCTGCCACGTCTGTAGGATGACCAGGGGCATTGTCTAACACCCGGAGGCACTTAAGTTCTAATTTCTTTTCAGTTAGGTAATTTTTCACATTGGGGGCAAATGCAATGGTGTAACCAGTTATAGAAAAATTCCCTAGTGACCCCTGCCTTACTGTTTGCCCTCCACAGCACACACAAATTAAACCTTGAGGACATTTTTTTGCCTGAACGCTCTGGGAGTTTCAGAGTGATCACTAATAAAGGCTTCACTTTGCAATCACCAGTAGCATTGGCACACATCAACAAAGTAAGCCTGTCTTTCATAGGTTATGTCCTGGGAGTGCCTTTTCCTCCTGAGTAATTTTAGGGCCTGCTTGGCATTTTCTTCCAGAACAGGCCTGTTTCATCACAATTAAACACTTGTTCAGGTTTCAGTCCTTCAGTTTCTATGTACTCCTTGAATTCCTGCACATATTTTTCAGCCCCTTTGTGGGTCCGAACTGGCAGCCTCACCATGCCTTATCACACTATGGATGCCACTACGCTTCTTTAAAACTCTCAAACCAACCTTTGCTGGCCTTAAATTCACTCACTCATCACTAGTTGCAGGCATTTTTTTAATTAAATCCTCATGCAACTTCCTAGCCTTTTCACATATATCGCTTGAGAGATGCTATCTCCTGCTAGCTGTTTTTCATTTATCCACACCAATAAGAGTCTCTCAACATCTTCCATTCACTTGCGATCTTTGTTTCGAAAACACAGTTGAACCTTTGGCAAGAACAGCTTCCTTGAATTGTCTTTTCTGGTGCCCACAATAGTAAACGATGGTTGATTGGGGTTTCTTGTACAGCTTGACTAGGTCGGCTATACGCACCCACTTCATCTTATCAAAATCTCTTTTTCAAATTTTTATAGTTAATTCTTACCCTTGAGGTGTAGTGGTTGGCACTAAAGCTTTCTTGGGGCCCATGGTCACTTATTTTCCAGAAACAGCACCGAAAAATACTGTAATAATACGAAATATTTCCCAGTGTATGCTTGGATGTATACCGCGGAGGCTGGCTGGTAAACAAATGGGACGGGCGGCACTGTGAGGCTGGCTGAGAGCACATTGGACGCTCTCGGACGAAAATCGGTGAGCGGGTTTTTAATCGGGATGCGCGGCAAAAATTTTGCGATAAAAGTAATCGGTATGCGGAAAAAAAAAACGCTATGTGATGCCATCGTTATGCGGGGGTCCACTGTACTTCAAAAAATTAAGGAAATGTGTGAAAAGTGGTTGGGCTGCAAACCTTTGGCGGATGAATATCCCCCCCCTGACACAGTACTGCCAAGCCGTGCTGGTGACTATTACAATGACACTGTTATGGCCCATTTTAGGAAAGTCTTAAAGGAACGGGAGGTACAGACCTCTATGGACCGATTTGTTGTGCGACAGGGTCCAGTGATCTCAACTGGTCCTAGTGGCATTAAAGAAGAAGGGAAGTAACCCCAGAAAAGGACTTGATACCTCAAGTCCTAATGAAAGGGATTCCCCTTTTAAACAAAAACAACTTCCACACTCTCCCCTCCTCCCATCCCATCAATCATCACCAGATCTTCAATAAAGGTAAGTGTCATGTATTCTATTCTTAGTAGAGTATTAATTGTGCATGTCTTCTTAAGTTTTTGTGTATTAAAATTATATTCATGTGGTAAAAAAAAAATTTTATACTTTGGGGTGTCAACAGTTAATTTGATTTCCAAATTTCTCGTGGGGAAAATTAATTTGCCTTATAGTAATTTCGGCTTACAAAGAGCTCTCAGGAACGGATTAAATATCGTAGGCCGGGGTCCACTGTATGCCCTTGAAACACAAAAAGAGACTGTTCTAGCAAGACACAAGGGGTTTTTTTCTCTCATCTGAATTTTTCCCGTCTGAGGTGCCTTTTTATGCACCCCTTATCTTATAAAAAATCTCATAAACCCTTTTATGAAAGCTGTATATACAGGATTTTTTTCATGTTTTGGAGAGCAACTGATCGGAAGAAACAAGTTATCATAACCATTTTCATTTTGAGAGAAAGTTTTTTTTGCCCCAAAAAATCCCTGGACTATAGTTCAGCATTTTTCACCATTTTTGTCCAGATTTTGAAAATTACTTAAATTTACACCCCAAGGGTACTATTTTCTATGCTATTCAGAATAACACTTGAGTAATTTCCTACATATGAATGGGAGAGTGTTGGTACCTGGGGGAAGGAAATGATATCCTTGGGGTCAAATTCGACTCCAAACTGACCATGAAGAACCACACTGTAAATCTTGCAAACAAGGCAGCCAGGGAAACTTACAGCACTCTGACGTATCTTTCACCTGCTTGACAGTAGGGGTTGCAAGATTCTGTATGAGGCACAAGTATGCTCACACCTTTTGAGTATGCTCCACTTTCTTGGTTTGCCCCCCCCCCCCCATCTGCGACTTGCTTAATAAGAGTAGAGAAAAGAGCAAGACGTCGCATCTCTCGCCTGGACCCATTCTGGATAGATCTGTCATTTCGGCAGAGCCTTCAACATAGAAGGGATGTGGGTTGGCCTTACCGTTATGTACAAAGGCCAACACTGTCAACGTACCACACTTGGATCCACTTCGAGGACAAACGAGAAGCAAGTTTCCATACCACAAAAACGGGCAGAAAGCAGCAACTTCACTCTGGCTGTACCCTTCTCCAGAACATCACTTCATCTGAGATCATTTATCCCCAGGATGACTTGAGCCCGGAACACATTCGTACAGATCATGATGTCAACAGGGTAGAGTCAGTTGATCAAATGAAAATGCTGACCCACAGATGGCTCTAACTTTCATCCTGTTACCTACTTGTATGTTTCATAACAATAAAAAAATGCTTTCAAATGCTGATTGTAGGTAACAGTTCTTAGCTTGTCAATAAAGTTAGGAATCCTTAACCTGTAAATAGCTTGTCAATAAAGCTAGGGATCCTTAACCTAACCTTGTCAAACCTATGTAAAAAAAAAAAAAAACAGGGAAAGGGAATGTTTTCATCAAGATTATTCATTATGAAAAATAACTAAAAATTATCAAAATAACGAAAAATTTTCTAAAAAAGTATGAAAAATGCCTTAAAAATTAGGAAAAATAACAAAAATTACAAAAAATAACTAAACATTACCAAAAAAATCACTATTTTAGCTATTTTTGATGCTACTTAAGAATATCACTTGAAAACACAAAAAAAGACCATTTAGCAAGAGACAAGGCTAATTTCTATCACCTGATTCTTCCCTGTCTGAGATGCCTTTTATGGCACACTTACAAAATGCCTCATAACCTTCCATGAAAGCTGTATATACAGGATTTTTCATGTTAGCGGGGAGCAATTGATCCAAGAAACAGTGTCAGCATGACCAATTTTCATTCTGAGTTTTTTTCACCCCATTTTTTGGGCCCGATTTTCAAAATTACTTAAATTCACAACCCAAGGGTACTATTTTCCCATGCTGATTCAGAATATACACTTAAAAATGTAAAATCACTCATTTTAAAAATCATACATGACCCGCCTATGATGCTAAAGGGACATCTGTCCATCCTGTTAGGGTGGACAGATGCCCTTTTTGTCACTTTTACAAAGCTATTAAAAGTGTAGGTCCCCCCTTTTGTGAGTGTAGGTCCCCTTTATGTAAGTGTAAATCCCCCTTATATAAGTGTAAGTCCCCCTTATGTAAGTGCAGGTCCCCTGATGTAAATATGGCTGGAACTTACAGTTTGAAAAACTTCGAAACATTACTTTCTTTGCCCAAAAGGTGAATGCCTTTTCTGATGTGCCTCAATTCTTCAATACTGATATCTAAAATGCATCAGAAACTTATGCCCTATTCTTCACCATTTCTTGTGTGTAATTTGACAGAAAGGGGGCTTGGCTCATGGGATACTGGGATACCTTTCTCAGATCGTGCAGCAGCAGTACTTGTCTACGCTGTCATTGTACTATATACAGTAGTCCCCCGTATCCATGGGGGGATACTTCCAAGACCAATGCGAATACCCAAAACCACAGATGGTAGTGAACCCTAAATATGTAAGTAATTTTTCATTTACATACATACCTATGATAAAGTTTAATTGATATTATGCACAATAAGTGGAGAATTAGCACTTTTTCACTGATAGGAAGTCTCTCTTAGGCTTTGAAGAACTACCATCACTACTTTTGCACTTTAGTGTCATAATTAAGCAAAATTAAGGGTTATTTTCGGGCAACGGTAAACTGAAGATAACTGAAACTGCAGAAACCAAATCCATGGATACAGGGGTTCTAACTGTATATGCAGTAGTTATACATTTAATCAATACTCACTTATCCATACTCTGCCCTCAACTACTTAATTTCTAGATTCAAATCACTAAAATAAGAAATGTTATCATACTAAAATAAATAAGCTTACCAACTTGATTGACTTTGACCAATTCCAGATCCAGTGTACCAGAATTTCCAAAATTGCATAACAACCACTCTTGAAGTACATGTACTTCTTTCTACCTGGTGGACAGCTACGCGAAGGTCATTTCACCAAAACCTGAAAGTTGAGAGATTTAGTGGTTGGACCTAGGAGATCATTCGGTACTCATGGCAATAACAAGTACAGTATTTATAACACACGTAAGAACACCCAAGGCAAAACTATGTGATAAAAATATAAAAGCTGCAAGAAATATCACCAATAAAGACTATTACACCATGAAGAAGAATTAGAAACATGTGACATCAGAGTATCTTTATGTGCAGATGTTTCACCACCCAGACTTTATCAATACATGGACATTATGTCCTTATAATAATAATAATAATAATAATAATAATAATTTTTTTTGGACATGATACATACAGTGGAACCTCAAAAATCGAACGTATCAAATATCAAACGTTTCGAAAATAAGACCATTTTTTCGGACAAACTGTGTCCCAATTATCGAACGCACCTCTAATTTCGGACTGCCAGGTACGGGACCTGTCCACTGGCCCGCTCTGTCCGCGTCCCCGCGCAGGCGCCACGAGCAGTCTAGCTTTGTTTATGCTTGAGTGAACACTAACCTGTGCTCTCATTCACACATTTTACGATTATTTCGTTGTGTTTAGTGCTTGTGGGACTGTGAAATAAGCTGCCATGGGCCCAAAGAAACTTGCTAGTGGTACCCCTGTGGTAAAGAAAGTGAGAAACACCATAGATGTGAAGAAGGAAATAATACAGAAGTATGAGATTGGAGTGAGACTTGTTAAGCTTGCCAGGATGTACAGGGTACTGTGGACAGTTTATTTTGTGAGACAGAAACAGACGACTGTGGATAGTTATTTTGTGAGACAGAAACAGAGGACTGCAGACAGTTATTTTGTGAGACTGGGGTCCAATGACTCTCAATGCTGGTCCTAGTGGCATTACAATAGAGAAGGGAAGCAACCCCAGAGAGGCTTTGATACCGGAAGTCCTCATGGGGGGGATTCTCCTTCCAAACAATAACCCCAACTCCCTCTCTCCTCCTCCCTATCTTCCAGATGCCATCACCAATCTTCAATAAAGGTAAGTAAAAATGTTATTTTATATTACTATACATAATTAAAGCTATAGCATTTGTTGTGTGTATGTAAAATTGTAATAACCTCTATGAAATGTATTTTTTTTTGTGAATTTTTTTGGGTTCTGGAACGGATTAATTGTATTTCCATATTTCTTAGGGGAAATATTGCTTAAAAATTTCAGAATTTTTCAAATTTAGAACAGCCCCCGGAAGGGATTAAGTTCGATTTTTTGAGGTTCCACTGTGTTTACAAAAAAATTAGTAGTTGATTGCAATCCCAAACCCACACTTTTTTCAATACACTAATACGTCTTCCCCTCCCCCCAAGCCCATCGTGCAGCCAAAATACTGTAAACACCCGAATTAAGAAAATACTCCCTGGATGATGCTAACAAAACTTATTCTCAACATTGAAAAAAACCTATTTCATTAAATTTTGGGAAACAGAGCTACAGATGTCCCTTTTAAAATAATGATAAATGGCCCCCCCTTTCACAAAAGCCACAGAGGGAAAATTTTCTGGGACCCACCTTGATAATAGACCAAATTTAAAAACAATGTAAAACAAATTTCCAAAGAAAATTTCCAAGGACGTAGGCATACTATCGAAGATACGGTACATTTTTCCACAGTCACCCCCTGCCTTATACACCACTCATTTACCCCTGTCTCGCCATGGAATTTGTGCAGGGGGCTCAACAAAAATAATTCATCTCAAACCATAATTACCCAAAAAAAGGGCTGCGTCAGAATAACAACATATTATGTATAAACTATGTTTTTAACTTTTCGCAGTAGATTTTTAATAAAAGGATTAAAATAAAAGAAAAAGGACAACATACACCAGTTTTACCATCTAAAAAAAAGAAGCGGGAGCAAAAATATACGCGCCATTTTTAGCATCAGTGTTTACCAAAAAGTGAATGATTTTGTGGCTGTGCAAAAGAATTTTTATTCTTTTTTGCATTTTTACTTTTTGGGTGGGATCTTCATGAACAAAAAGTGACATGACGGGACTTGGGGCTTTTACCACAATAAGAAACATGAGCAGTCCCCAAGCATATAAATAATGTTAATGATTTTTAATGCGGGGTTAAAGTGCAATTGCAGCTAAATTGATTCGCTACAAATTTCGAACAAAACACAATTTCAAAAAAAATTTGAAACACACCCTCACCCACGCTCCCCACAGGACTGGACGACCTCTATAATTACTATTATATATGTAAAATTTACATTATTAAATTTAGTTTTTTTTAAAAAAATTTTACTCTAAAAAGTTTATTAGCTGTTCATGGGGCCTGAAGTTGTGGTCCCCCCCCTCCCATTCTATTCTTTGAAGTGCTGCCACTACACCCCCACTTTTAAAAAACCTAACCCTACTAAATATAAAAACATACACCATATTATTGTGCCTACTTTACAAAAACAAAACTTAAACTCCAATAAACCCCTCCGTTTAAAACTTCTCTTTGATGCTACAATAGAACCCCAGCACAATCAAAAAAAAGCACTCTTTTAATCCTTCGTGTCAGTCCCTTTACACTAGCAAAAATGCAAAGCACATTAAGGACCCAAAATCTGGGAAATTCACTACCGAACCATAAAGGGTCCCCTGACTACATAAAATTTAGGATCTGTTTTAAAAAAACACTCTCTCAATAATAACCAAACAACTTTTAATCATTTAAAGAAACTCTCCCAAAATATTTTGACCTTATCATTAAAAACGCCAATCCATGAAATATTTTCCGTCTGAACCCTTAATTTTAATACCGTTTTTATTTTTTGCAACTTAAAAATTATCAAAACTATTAACCTCCACCTTTACTATCTCACATTAGTTTTTTATTTTTTTTTATCACACTGGCAATTCCCACCAAGGGAGGGTGGCCTGAAAAAGAAAAAACTTTTCCCCTCATTCCTCCTCCTGTCTTCCCGAAGGGTGCTTTTCACTACATTTTTAAACGCAACATTAACACCCCCCTTCAAGGCAGGCACTGATTCCCATCTCCAGGCCAGTCCGGCCCGCCCGGGTTTCCCAACTCCTTATAAATGTTATTTCTCACACTCCAACAGCACGTCAAGTATTAAAAACCATTTGTCTCCATTCACTCCTATCAAACCGCTCAGCTACCCGCTGGAAGTCCAAAAACCCCCGCACACAAAACCTCCCTTTTCCTCCCTCTCCAACCTTTCCTAGGCCGACCCCCTTTCCCCCCCTTCCTTCCACTCAGACTGTACACTCTTGAAGTCATTCTGTTTGCTCCATTCTCTTACATGTCCGAACCACCTCAACAACCCTTCCTCAGCCCTCTGGACAACAGTTTTGGTAATAAGCACCTCTCCTAACTTCCAAACTACGAATTCTCTGCATTATAATTCACACCACACATTGCCCTCAGACATGACATCTCCACTGCCTCCAGCCTTCTCCTCGCTGCAACATTCATCACCCATGCTTCACACCCATATAAGAGCGTTGGTAAAACTATACTCTCATACATTCCCCTCTTTGCCTCCAAGGACAAAGTTCTTTGTCTCCACAGACTCCTAAGTGCACCACTCACTCTTTTTCCCTCATCAATTCTATGATTCACCTCATCTTTCATAGACCCATCCGCTGACACGTCCACTCCCAAATATCTGAATACATTCACCTCCTCCATACTCTCTCCCTCCAATCTGATATTCAATCTTCATCACCTAATCTTTTTGTTATCCTCATAACCTTACTCTTTCCTGTATTCACCTTTAATTTTCTTCTTTGCACACCCTACCAAATTCATCCACCAATCTCTGCAACTTCTCTTCAGAATCTCCCAAGAGCACAGTGTCATCAGCAAAGAGCAGCTGTAAACGGTCCAAGCAGATCTACGTGCATATGCGTAGTGCTCCAAAAGTAGATCTACATTTTTTTACATATTTTCAAATATAACAAAAAAAAAAAAAAGTAGATCAAAGTTTTTTTACACATTTTCAAATGTAAAAAAACAAAAAGATCTACTTTTTATACATACTTTCAAATGTTGAAAAAACGTATATATACGTTTGAACCGTTTACGGGTTAAGATGAAATAAAGATTTATTAAGAAGTTAACCACTCTTATCTTGTCTAGATTTAAGTAGTTATTATGTATTAGGGTTAGTCTGCCCAAAATGCCTCAGCATGATAGTGACCTTTGTACTTAACAAACCAAAATTGTAATTACACATTGTAACCTTTACAAAGAAATAAAATCTTTATTCTTTTATTCTTTTAAGTTTATTTTGGTACTAGTACACATAAGTACAATTTTTATATAATATAAATTACCTAGGGTCACCCCAAAAAAAAAAGTCAGTCAAAGTGACTAATTTCTATTGTGTCCTGTAGCTCGATTGGTAGCACACTCAGCTCGCACAATGAGATCCTGGGGTCGATCCATGTTATGGATGGAAACATTACGCGTTTCTTTAAGACACCTGGGCATTAGTCACCTTACACCTTCTGTCACTATTCACCTAGCAGTAAAATAGGTACCTTGGTGTTAGTCATCGACTGGTGCGAGTCGCATCCTGGGACAATTATTATTATTACACTAAGGGGGAAGCGCTAAACCCGGAGGATAATACAGCGCCTGGGGGGGGGGGATGTGGAAGGCATTCAGTTAATTGTCTGGAACTGGAGCACAGATATCAATTCCCTAAATCAAGAGCCCCTAACACCACTTCAAGAACTTTCTTAGGGGATCTTGGGCAAAATTATCCTAAAGTTGCAGGAAATATCAGCAAAACAAGCAGTTTTCCTATATAGTAGCAAATTGGTCTGTTTACCTTTACATATACTTGTAGAAAAAATTATTATTATTATAACCCAAAAAAAAAAGCCTAAGGGCTAACAGCACTTGAAAAAATAAAGATTACGGGGGTTTTTTAATGCATTTTTTCTAAAAAGGGATGTTAAAATCCTTTTTAAACCCAGTATATATAAACCATTTTAAATAACCATTATTATTATTATTATTATAATCAAGGGGGAAGCGCCTAAACCCGGAGGGATTATACGCCCCTGGGGGGGGAGGATGGGGAAGGCATTCAGGCTTAATTGGGGGAACGGGAGCACAGATCCAATTCCCAAAATCAAAAAGGCCCCCTCACCAACATAAAGGGAAAACCTTCCTTGAGGGGATTTTAAATTAACCAAAGCTTACCTAGCCCTTAATTTTTTTCTTTCCAAAATTTTTGGACCCTTTTAAAATGTCACTTTTTTTTTGGGTTTAAATCCCAGGTAACTACCCCCATAAAACTGCTATTATAAACAATGTGACGGGAAAATAAGGATCCCAAGGGGAAATAAGAAAAAGGCCCCCAAAGGGGAAATAATTTACTTTATCAGACTTATTTTTGTGGTTTTCCCCCGGTTTTTCTACACATTAAAACTGCCCATGTTTGATTAAAATATGTAACTGTATTTTTAGTATTCCCGAATAAACTTACTTATTAAAAAGGGTTTTCTTGGGTGAGGTTTTCATGTAGTTTTTCCAGGCAGTTGTTACATTGTTTGTGACGTCAGTCTTGATGGTCCCTTTTCCCAAAATTAAAAAAGTACTGAACCTGATTCCCATTTTTTTCCCCCAAAAAATAAAATAATATTAAAGATTTTAAAATTTTTTTACAAAGGTTACAATTTTGGGAATTACAATTTTGATTTAAGTACAAGATAAAATGCTTTTATGCAAGGGGCATTTGGGGAGTAAAAATATAAGAACAAGTACACATAAAATACAATTTTCAGCGTGTTTTAAAATTTCCCAAAAATAACCCCAAAAAAAAATTAAAAGTGACTTATATAAGTTTATTTAGGCACAAAGGGACACAATTACAATTATCATACTAGTGTAAAAATTTCCCAGGATAAAAAATTTCAGACAATGTGTTATTTTAAGTAATTTATTTAGGTACAGGTACCAAAAGTACAAAATTTTTATTCATAGTGTAAATTACCTAAGGAAAACCCCCCCCCCCCCCCCCCCCCACCCCCCCCCCCCCCAAAAAAAAAAATCAAAGTACTTATTTCCCTTGGGTTTTTTGAATTATTACACGCTTTAAGAATAGATCTTTAGTTCTACGCAAACCCGGAGAGGAACCATAATAGCCCGCCAGCAGAGAGAGGGGGGGCCCGGGGCTGTGTCTCGGCTCCTGTAATACCAAATTTCATGAATTTTTAAAAAAAGATTAAAACACCCCCAAACCCCAGTCAGAACCGACTTTTGCAATGCCGTTTTCAAATCTCTAGAAAGGAAATAATAAAAATTTAAAAATAAATAATAATAATAAAATTTTTATTTTTTTACAAGTACATGTACAAGGTATCAGACCACAGCTGATATCAAAAGAATAATACTATATTTGAAAGCCCCTTTTTTACTGGCAAATTTTGGGGGAAAAATTTGGGGCAGTTTTTGTCCCAGGATGCGACCCCCCACCAGTCCACTAACATCCAGGTACCTAATTTATACTGATGGGTGAACAGGGACAGTAGGTGTAAGGAAACCCGTCCAATGTTTCCATCCCTTCGCCGGAATCGAACCCAGACCCTTACCGTGTGAAGGGAGAAACTTTTGCCACCAGGCCACGGGGACTGGTGCCACTTTGAAGAGGCCATATTATGTACAGAATTTGAAGAAAACTTAGACTAGCATTCAAAATAGTTACTGTGGGGTTCTATGAGCTAGTGTTTACCACAGGGTATTGGCCTGGTGGTGTAATAATTCTCTCTGAACCATTTTTTTCTCTCATTTGTAACTTGATCAAATGAATTTAACTTTTGATATGATCACAGGATATATATAATATATAATATTTATATATATATATATATATATATATATATATATATATATATATATATATATATATATATATATATATATACACCAAGAGATTATTTCTCTAAGCATATATATGCAGAGAATAAAAAGTAAGTGCAGCCTTAATGACCCTTATGTAGTTGTGGAAAATACTGAATAAATTTTTCCAGAAATTCAGTATTTATATGTATATAGATGGCCATACTGTATTTAATAATATTTATGTCATAGAAAATGGAAAGCCTGCGTCTGCGCAGGAGGAGACTCACCATCTTGGTTTTGAATTTTGTACAAACGTTGGTGTAATGGGAAGAATTTTTCGTGCTCTAGAGGTTAAAATTGTGTTGACACCTCTCAAATAGGAGGCGAAATTGTTGGATGTGCATTCCTGCATAACTTGAGATATCAGACGACTGGACAAGACAGCTCCGGGAACCTCAGATAAGCTCTCTAGATTTGTGTGTAATTCTGGCCAGCATTATTTTCATAGATTTAGTTAGAGTAAGGTTTTCCGAGTATGATACACATTAATCTCCAGTCAAATTGGTGAGTGATATTAAGATATATTTTCCTCTGTTATGTAATTGTATATAATTATATATATATATATTTATATATATATATATATATATATATATATATATATATATATATATATATATATATATATATATATAACCATTTATTATTTTTAATATACAGTCCACAAATTTACATATTTACCAGTATTCCTGGTGTATGTATATTTCATTTAATTAATAGGTCCAGAGCAACTTGTGGTTATGACAGTGGTAGGTATCGAAGGGGGACATTTTTTGCTACCTAGGTGTCCCAAATTCCTACTTGTCTATGTAACATTGATAAATAATAATTATCTTTGTTATCATTTACTGTTATGTACATAATTAGTTACATTCAGATAAATGCAATTTTCCACAGTAGTCAATACACTTTAAATCCCCATGAACCAACTTAGTATATGATGGTTAGGTTAGGTAAGGTTTGTCAGGCAACAGGACAAGTGTTTCTTGCCGCGGGTCTGAGTCATATGGCCCACAGCTGGGGCTTTTGGTCATCTGATCGAGACCTTCTACTGGCTTACCCCTCCACCCCTTTAAAAAATATGGTTATAATTATATGATTGGTGGTGGTTACTTGTAGATGTCATCCCTGCAGCCGACTCCCGGACCAGGCTTCACTGACAGCCTGCTCAGTCAGGCTGCTGTAGTTTTATCAAGGATTTATCTTATGCAATACAAATTTATTTCTTTTCTGTAGTATACAAAATATAGTTTACATGAAAAAATATTGGTACACACAAAAGAAAGCCACTAGCATTCAGTGCATTTTGTACTCACCTAGTTGTGGTTGCAGGGGTCGAGTCCAGCTTCTGGCCCCACCTCTTCGCTGGCCGCTACTAGATCACTCTTCCCGCCCCATGAGCTTTATCATACCTCTTCTTGAAGCTTTGTAATGCGTTTGTAATGACTGATCGGTGATGGTTACTCAAGGACTGATGACTGTTAATGGTGAAGGGTGTACCTGATAAGGTTTGTCACAGGAGGGGTCCCGTAAGTGACTTTAAGTCTACATAACTTAAAAATTTTGGTCTACTACTACTGTTGCGAGGGGCCCCCATAACGGGGGCTCCAAAAATATAGGGCCGCCACTGGGTTTGTGAGAGGGATAATATGAGGCAAGATATGGTCATAATAATAATAATTAAAACACTCAGCACCAGTAAAAATTCACAAGAGTCGAGGCGCAGACATTGCATCAGCAGTATGGTCGTCTAGCCGCTGCTGTCAGCTAACAGTCAGGTAACAGCTAACCTCTTATCAGCTCAGTCAGCACATGTAGAGTTTATGTGGTCCTGGAGGTGACCAGTGGACATCACTCTCCTCTGGAACACTCGCCACTCCACTAGTTACAATTCACTCTTCTAGTAAGTACATCAGAACCTCCAAATATAATCAGACTGTTCCTGATTATCTTAACTTACTACTTTCAATTTAAATATTCCAAAAGGATAGTATATAATCGGACAATTGAAATGCTAAAAAAATGTATTATAAACATAACGAAATGTTAATAAAACAAATGTGTAGTGCTAGGATATATACTGTGGAAATGTTGCACTCAGAAGACGAAATGATCCTCCTGTAGCTGATGAGCTTGAAGCCCAGTTAACCAACCAACTCAGTTTTATCATTCCTGACCAGATCCTCGACGTAGCCAACACGACTTCCACCATAATTAATGTTGCTCTTGTTAACGATGTTGGTAGCTACTTGGTCGACTGGAAGAGCAATAAATCTCATAAGCAAACATTCCTCCCTGATAAGATACAAAGGAAACTGCAGAAAAGCAGTACTGGAAATCCTAAATGCCCTAACATAGAAACCAGTGATCACCCATCCCTTAGTTCTCATGTCATGGTATGATAGTTACCGCAACAAATACCTGGAGAGGGTTTCGGGGGGTCAACGCCCCCGCGGCCCGGTCTGTGACCAGGCCTCATGGTGGATCAGGGCCTGATCATTAATGCAGAGTAAGAGGACATCAAGGAAGGACAACTACATGATAACCACCTGGTGGTTCACAATTACACTCACCCACTGACTATAAACCCAGAAATACTAATCTTAATCTTAAAATAATAAATCCTAACTAGTCATAAGTTTGCCTATGATACTCCAATATAGACACTTTGTATTGTGCCAAAACAAAAGCATTCACATTGCTAAACTCACAAATTATGATGTAGTCACTAAGCCTTAATACCATAATCTGTAAGTATTTAATGTTAAGAATTAATCTAAGTCTGCTCGAAATGCCTAGCCAGGCTAGGTGTCCTAGTGGCCCCCTCTGTAATTAATATTTTATAACATGTAAACCACACAATACCCAAAACCTGTAAACTCCACATTGTAACCCTTTTAGAGAATAAACTTGAAATGAATTTAATTGAATTTAATTTAATTGAAAAAAAAACAAGCGCTAAACCCAAGGAAGGAACGCCGATCATCCTGTTCCTCCTCGTCAGTAAACTTAATGGAAAGTTCCATAGAGTAAAGCTTGTAGTGTAGATTGGTTATATTGAGTCATCCTGGTATAGTTACTAACACATCGTAAAAACAGCCATGTTACATTTCTCAGAATGATGGATTTACAATGTCCCTCCAGGTGCTCTATGTACAGACTGACCTAGACAGCAATGATGGGTGAACCCATGGCCATCATAAAGCACCGTACACACAGTTGCCATAGATAAAACAACTGAAATTGACACAATTCAGTCAGGTCGACAAAAATATGTGACTGGTAATGGAAGATCTATGTCATCAGTAACTTTTCAGCAGAGTACGGCAATGGCTTGCAAGATGTAACATCAAAACTAAGCGAGCTTCTTGTTCCTGATAACAATGAAACATACGTATATGTGGTTGATGAAGTCCCGTACCATTTCCACAGTGAATACCCTAGTACTACTATATAAAACTACACGTATATGTAATTACATCTCGTCTGTCAAAGCTACAAACGTCATACAAGATTATTATTATTATTCCCTGAACTGAGAGTCGCTCAACAGCACTGAGGCACCTTCCTTAAAGGGATTATTATAATAAGTCTAAATTTTCCTAGGCAGGATGCGATGGTTGGTTGTATGTACACTGCTGCTGACCACCACGGCAGCCAGGGCTAACTTTGTAAGTTTAATATTTCTCATTTCAACTTTATTTTGACATTTTCCTCATACATTTTGTGCTATAATATACAAATTTTGGAGCATAAAAAAGAAAGAATTGCATTTAAATTCTTATTACTCTTCAATAATATACTTGAATTTACAGTTTTTCCCATTAAACTGTAGTGATCCCCCCCCCCCCGAAAAAAAAGAAACTGATCACCCGATTATGGTAAAAAAAAAAAAAGTAACAACTAACTGATACGTAATTACGCCTTTGCATCTTTACGATCTGAGCTATTCTCTGGGTGCCCCCCTTTTAATTATTTCATTATATATTGATTTCCATGGAATGGTATGATATTGCTGGCAGTTGGACGAGTTGTGGGAGCATCTGATGGATATCTTCAGGACTTTTGAGTCAGTACCTTACAAGGTTACCAGGACAGCTCCTGTGAGTTTTCTGCATTTGTTTTATTTATCATTCTTGATATAAAGCCAATAAGTCTTTATCAGTTTTATTGAAAGTATTTTCGTACCGTTGTCTTGACTTCAGATCTCTGATAACCAGAGCTTTTAAGTTTATATAAGAATAATAGTGGCTTAGCGCTTCTTTTTGATTTTAATAATTAATAAAAAATAATAATAATAATAATAATAATTTAAAAATAATAATAATAATAATAATATAAGAATAATAACAATATCTTTATTTACTACAAGTACATGTATGAAGTATACAGATCATAGCAGACATCAGTGACATATGTGGAAAATTGCATTTATCTGAATGTATCATTAAATACATAACAGTAAATGAACAAAGATAATTATTATTTATCAGTTAGACAAGTAGGAATTTGGGACACCTAGGTCGCAAAAAATGTCCCCCTTCGATACCTACCTCTGTCATATCCACAAGTTGCTCTGGACCCATTAATTACAAACGAAATATATGTCACGAGGAATGCTGGTAAATATATAAATTTGTGGACTGTATATTAAAATTAATAAATGATTATATATATATACACATTTATATAACAGGAAAATATATCTTAATCATAACACTCACCAATCTGACTGGAGATTAATGTGTCATTCTCAGAAAACCTCACTGTCTACATTTATGATAGTAATACTGGCCAGAACTATAAACATAATATAGACATGACTTAGCTGGGGTTCCTGGAGCTGTCTTGTCCAGTCGCCTGATATCTCAAGTTATGCAGGGAAAGCACATCCAACAATTTCGTCTCCTATTTGAGAGGTGTCAGCCCAATTTTAACCTCTAGAGTACGAAAATTCTTCACAGTATTAATTAACGTCTGTTCAATTCAAACAGCAATGGCGAGTGTCCTCCTGCGCAGGCGCAGCTTCTTCTCATTTTCAATAATATAATTTTTAAATACAGTATGGCCATCTATTTACATATAACTACTGTATTTCTGGAAAATATATACAGTATTTTCCACAACATATAACTATATAGAAAGCTGCTTGTTATGCTGATCATTTCCCGCAAATTAGGTCAATTTTGTCCCCAGGATGCGACCCACACCAGTCCACTAACACCCAGGTACCTATTTTACTGCTAGGTGAACATGGACAGCATTTGCTTTAAGCAAATGCGATACAAATCTGTAAGTGGTGTGGTTATTTTCTTTTCCCATATTAAACTACATTTTTTTTTTTTCACGACACATCAACCTATCTATATCATTCTGTAGTATCCTCGTGCCCCCCTTAGAAATTATTTTCTCGCTTTTTTTTTTTTTTTTTTTTTTTTTTTTTTTTTTTGTCGTTGGTAAACTGGCCTATGTTTCTGTAGATAATGTCATTAATGTAGATTCTGAACAGCAATTAACCCAAAACTGACACCTATAAGACATCAATTGTATTAGATCCTCCGTCTGATTTTCCCTCCATATAGAAAGAACAAGAAGGCACAATACCGTGACTGGAACAATACACAAATAACCCGCACATAGAGAGACCAGCTCACGACGTCCTTTCGGTCCGACTTGGACCATTTACAGATTGTAAATGGTCCAAGTCGGACCGAAATGACGTCTTAAGCTTCTTTCTCTCCTACATACGGTTTTTATATGTATTTTCCCCATTTACTTACACTCCGTTGCTTATCGATCATCCATCTTAAGTTTATTTAGACACAGGTACACATAAGCACTATAATTATACACAGCAACAATGGAAATAAGTCACTTTGTCTGACTTTTTTGGGGTTATCCTAGGTTCTCTACATATATGTTGTTATGTATGATATTTCTATGTAACTGTATTTGTGTATACCTAAATAAACTTACTTAAACTACCGGGAATAACCCCCAAGAAAAGTCAGACAAAAAGTGACCTATTTCCCCTGAGGTATCTGTGTATACCTGGAGAGGATTTTGGGGGTCAACGCCCCCGCGGCCGTCTGTGACCAGGCCAAATAAAGTGTCTTATTAACCAATTGCCACGTAAAAGCACATAATGGAGCCCCAATCTCGCTTCCAGGGGTACGAGGAGAGGCTATATGAGGAACAGAAATGGGTATGCACGCAGGAGACAAAGAAAAGTGATCCATTGAACAGCCTATTCTGGCGACTCTTCCAATACATCTCCGGACACAACCACAACAGTGAGTTCTCCTTATTAATGATTTTGTTTACTAATTACATTTAAAATGTGTAAGCATTTTAATTTGTAAATTGGTAATGTTATCTTTAAAACTGTTGTTAGTATCCACTAGTGTTATTATTTTTAACAATAATTATATTTCTATTATCATCATTACTATTATTATTACTATCATTATTATTATTATTATTATTATTATTATTATTATTATTATTATTATTATTATCATTATTACTATTATTATTAACAATATTATTATTAGTAGTAGTATTACCATCTTCAACACTGTTTTCATTTTCTTCACAATTCCAATTTTGATATCTGCAATGTTATAAAACAAGTTCTCACATTATTTATAACACTCAATACCTGTACGTTAATGAGTTAAATATTTGGAACACTTAGATATATTCATTGGAATAATATACACAAATACAGTACAATGTGATCCTCTAGAGATGGGTTGGTAGCATTGAAAAATTAGTGGGATGGATTTGATATGGACCTGCCAAGTATGGGCTAGTAGGCCTGTTGAAGTGTTCTTAAGAACATAAGAACGAAGGAACACTGCAGCAGGCCTACTGGCCCATGCGAGGCAGGTCCAAGTCTCCTACCGGCTTAAGCCAATGCACCCAACCTAGTCAGGTCAGGTCACATTGACTTAAGGGAGGAAGACGGCAACCGACCTGGTAGCACAAGCTATCAGGTCCAACTCACACCCACCCACATCCACTCATGTATTTATCCAACCTATTTTTAAAGCTACACAACGTTCTGGCCTCTATAACTGTACTCGGGAGTTTGTTCCACTCATCCACAACTCTATTACCAAACCAGTACTTTCCTATATCCTTCCTGAATCTGAATTTTTCCAACTTAAAACCATTGCTGCGAGTCCTGTCTAGGCTAGATATTTTCAGCACACTATTTACATCCCCTTTATTTATTCCTGTCTTCCATTTATACACCTCAATCATATCCCCCCTAATTCTACGTCTTTCTAGGGAGTGCAGATTCAGGGCCCTTAGTCTATCCTCATAGGGAAGGTTTCTGATACATGGGATCAACTTTGTCATCCTCCTTTGTACATTTTCCAGAGCATTTATATCCATTCTGTAATACGGTGACCAAAACTGTGCAGCATAATCTAAATGAGGCCTAACTAAGGATGTATAGAGTTGAAGAACAACCTGAGGACTCCTATTATTTATGCTTCTTGATATGAAGCCAAGAATTCTATTAGCTTTATTGCGAACACTTATGCACTGTTGTCTTGGTTTCAGATTACTGCTAACCAGAACTCCTAAATCTTTTTCGCAATCCGTAATATTAAGATCTACATTATTTAGTTTATATGTGGCATGGTTATTGTCCTGTCCAACATTTAGAACTTTGCATTTGTCTATATTAAACTGCATCTGCCACTTCTCCGACCACTGCATCAGTCTATTCAAATCTTCCTGGAGCGCTCGAATGTCCTCGTCAGAATGAATTCGACGGCCTATTTTGGTGTCATCGGCAAACTTGCTGATGTCGTTCTTTATGCCCTCATCTATGTCGTTTATGTAGATTGTGAACAGCAGGGGGCCCAACACTGACCCCTGTGGAACACCGCTCGTGACGCTTCCCCACTCTGATTTCTCCCCATTTATGCAAACTCTCTGCTGCCTATTTGTCAACCATGCCTCTATCCAGGAAAAAATTTCTCCTCCTATTCCATGTGCCTTAATTTTCCTCAATAGTCTCTGATGTGGGACCCTGTCAAAAGCCTTACTGAAGTCCATATACACAATATCATATTCATTACCATGATCTACCTCCTCAAATACCTTAGTGAAAAAAGTTAATAAATTCGTAAGGCAGGAACGCCCCTTTGTAAAACCATGCTGAGATTCGTTGATTAATTTATGCTTTTCAAGGTGGCTACGAACTGCCTCGGCAATTATTTATTCCATAAATTTTCCCACTATGGAGGTTAGGCTTATTGGTCTATAGTTCGAAGCTAAGGACCTGTCACCTGCTTTGGAAATAGGTATCACATTTGCCATTTTCCACTTATCTGGCACCATGCCAGTTTGTAGTGATATGTTGAAAAGATTAGCCAAAGGTTTGCTAAGCTCCTCTTTACATTCCTTTAGAACCCTTGCATACAGTTCATCAGGGCCTGGGGATTTGTTAGGTTTTAATTTATCTATTTGCCTAAGGACCATGTCACTTGTGACCCTAATCGTGCACAGTTTATTATCGTCCTGTTCTATATAATTTATCATTTCTGGAATATCGCTGGCATCCTCCTGTGTAAAAACTGAGAGGAAGTATGTGTTAAAAATTCTACACATTTCCTTATCACTGTCAGTGAGCTGACCCGAGGAACTTTTGAGTGGGCCTATCTTGTCCCTGATCTTCTGTATACCTGAAAGAATCATTTTGGGTTAGTCTTCGAATCTCTTGCAACTTTAACCTCATAATCTCTTTTTGCTTTTCTAATTCCCTTTTTTATTTCTCTCTTTAACTGAATATATCGATTTCTTAATTGCCCCTCTCCTGTTTTGATTTGCCTATATATGCCTCTCTTTTGACCAATCAGATATTTTAATCTATTGTTCATCCATTTAGGATCATTTTTGTTTGATCTGATTTCCCTATTTGGAATATAATTTGACTGAGCAGCTAGAACTATGCCCTGGAAAGCGTCATATCGGCAACCATCACCACCTACCTGACCCTTAGTCAGGTCATTCCAGTTCAGCCCACCTAAGTAATTTTTCAGTCCTATGAAATCAGCCAAGCGAAAGTCAGGGACGGAGACTTGATTGCCATTTTTGGGGGAATTCCATGATATATTAAAATTGAGTGATTTGTGATCACTTCCCCCAAAGCTCACATTAACCCAAATTATAATTATGTTTCCCTACGGGCAAAAACCCAAAGTAAAGGGGGTTATTTCCCCATTTGGGGCTCGGTCAAAAACTTTTTAAAAAACAATCCGGGATCGATCAAAAAGCCCACCGACTCAAATTTCCTGTCAAATTGCTCCAGTCAATCTTCTTAGTTAAATCCCCTTTGCACGACTTTTTTCGTATGTAAGCCTTACAAATTTTCGCCCATAGAAGTTTACGCACTCCCTATCAAATTTGGGGCCCTGAAAATCACACCCAAAATTAGTTTTTTCCGCCCTCGAGAAGCGTAACCAAAAAGATCATGGCGATTTCTTCTACTTTATACCTGTCTAACCAACAATTTTAAAAAGTCTCTGACAATATCGCTACCCACCACCCTTCCTGTTGACCCTGTCATGTGGAATAATTTTAGCCCATATGGGACATTCGAACACTCTCTATCTTTCGATTGGCCAGGCCTTTTATAGCAAAAAAAAATTTTGTTCCTGCACTTGCAATTAACTTCTCATCTATCTTTAGGAATGTGGTCAAAAAACGTTTTTCTAAGGGGCAAAGAAGGGAAGTATGAAAGATAGTATACCAACACTCTTAAGGTGTAAGCTTGGTGTAAAAGCGCAGCGAGAGACGGTTGAGGCAGCGGGGATTCCTGTTTTTAAAGGCAAGTGTGGGTAAATTTAGCAGAAATTCGGGGGTGGAAATAGGAGAAGGGTGGGGTTAATAAAAGTAATCAGAGGGGAGAAGAGGGGTTTTTGAGGGGGTTTGGTATTTTTGGAGGAAAAAGGGCCAGTAAAGACATGGAAAGCATTAAAACTATGGGAAGGGAAGGGGGGTAGGGGGCGCCTCGAAAGGGTTGGAGAGAGGGGGTAAAGGAGGGTTTTTTGGGGAAGGGGCTTGGGCCCCAGCAAGCGTGCGTAGCGTGTTAATTGGGGTGAATGGAGACAATGGACGGACCGACATCTGTTGGAGTTGACAGGGTAATATTTTTGTGAAGGGATTCAGGGAAACCGGTTTTTTTTCATATAGTCGGGCTTTTATCCGGAAATGGGAATACCAATGCCTGCACTTAAAGGAGGGGTTTGGGAATTTGGCAGTTTGGGGATATTTTTTATTTTTTATATGTTTATGCTTTAGACTGTTGATTTGAGCACCTCGCAAAAACAGTGATAATGGCGAGTGTGGGAAGTTTGAATGAGAGAAATATTTTCTTTTTGGGATTTCTTTTTTTTTTTTGGGTCACCCTGCCTGGGTGGAAGGGCCGACTTTTTAAAAAAAAAAAAAAAAAAAATCATCTATTTTTTAAACCCCCTGCAATAGTATAAAAACCCTTTAAGGGAGCTAGCCCTTTTGCTGTCCCCCTTTTTTGCTGACCTGATCTATTTCTTTATTTATAACTTCATCGAAGCCTTTTAAACATTTCTGTTTCCAACCCAAGGTTGCAACCTGCTTGTTTCCCACACACACCCCATCCTCTACTTCATCAGTTTAAAATCATAGGCATTTCCCAATGCCTTTTCAATTTTAGTTTGCAAGGGGTACCACCCCAGCCCCAGAGAGATGTACCCATCCCTTTTATAATATCATGTTTTTCCATAAAATTTTTCCAGTTTTCATGAAAGGGGTTTCAAGTTCCTTCATATCTGCGCCCCATTTACACCAATGGGCCCCAACAACCTTCATTTCCTACTCCCTTCTAGGCAAGATGCAAAAATTGATTGGGACCCCCCCCCTTAGACTTAATAAATCTATGCTGGGCCTGTACTTTTCTAGACTCTTTTCCCCCTACCCTTTCCCCAAACATTTCCACCACACTAGACGATAAAGGCTTTTTCCCCTTACCCTGACAATATTACCAGCCGTTAACTATGTCCCCAACCCCAGCCCAGGGAACACACCAACCTCATCTTCTTATTCCTATTAAAAAAAGCACGGTCAATAATCTTACCTGAAGTCCCAACCACAAGAAAAGTCTTACCCGTTAGCAGGGCAGTATACCCTTTCCTTCACTGGGCCCCTGAAGTACATTCATCCTGAAGAACAAGAACGATTTCCTACCTTCAGATCTTCACTCTTAACTTTCCTTATTCTGATTCTCCTCCCATTACTGGTTACCACTCGCCACTTGTAGCAGGTGCTGGACTGCACCTCACTGCTGGTAGCCGTTGTTACCTCCCCACCTACAGCCTCCTCACAGCGAGAGACAGACTGCACCTCACTGCTAGAAGCCTCATTCCCCACAACTCCAGCCACCTCACACTCTCTCCCAGACCCATTGAGGTGGACCTTCAGCCTCCTAATCTCCTCCTGGAGAAGCAAGACCTCCTCCTTCAACTCTCCAACCTCAATTTTTAAAACACTGCAGAAGCAAGCCATGCTTTGTAACCGTCCACGCCTAATCCCCAAAGCAGCTCAGGGTCTGTGACCTCACGTGACGACTGACTACTGACCACTGACGACTGACCACTGACCACTGACGACTGACCACTTTCTTATGTTTGACTACATTTCGCCCACACAGTAGGCTTTATCAAGTCACAGACAGATCTACACAAGCTACCCAGCATTCTCCACCTGAATCTCCACATTATAACTGGTGTACTCTTTACCCAGGTAAGTCTGTGACTTGATAAAGACCACTGTGTGGGCGAAACGTTGTCAATAAAGAATCACATTATACTGCATTTGTGTCAATTTTTCCATCGTGTCGGTATTTGATACCTTTCATCTCCACCTCTGATGAGGACTGTTGAACGGGCGAAACGTTTCGTCTACGCGACAGACTACTTCTTCACTCTGTGAGTTTATCCTTATGCGTGGCCTGGTAGGCAATGCTCTCGCCTCACACACTGAGTGTCCGTGGTTCGATCCCCGGTACGAGTCAAAACATTGGGCAGTATTTCCTCACACCTGCTCTCACTGTTCACCTAGTAGTAAGTAGGTACCTGGATGTTAGTCCCCTTTCATCTGCTGTCCCTATCTCACCTAGCAGTAAGGAGGTGCCTGGGTGCTAGTCACCTAACACCTGCTGTCCCTATTCACCTACCAGTAAGTAGGTACCTGGGTGTTAGTCCCCTTTCACCTGCTGTCCCTGTTCACCTAGCAGTAAGAAGGTACCTGGGTGCTAGACACCTTACACCTGCTGTCCCTATTCACCTAGCAATATGTAGGTACCTGGGTGTTAGTCCCCTTTCACATGCTGTCCCTATTCACCTAGCAGTAAATAGGTACCTTGGTGCTAGGCGACTGTTGTGGGTGGTGTCCTGGGGGACAAGATTGAAGGACAGTCCTGTATGACGCACTGACTTTCCTGGGTTATCCTGGATGGCTAACCCTCCGAGGTTAAAAAAATCCCAACAAAATCCTATTATATCTTACAAGAACTTGTTTTCCCCAGGTGAGTACATCGCCATGACAGTACCAGTGACCACGGAGTTTACAATACAAAGCGCCAGTGACAAGACTTACACTATGTGCTACTACCTGGGGTTACAGCACCAGGACGACCCTCCAGCACCTCTAAACTCTCAGGTGTTCATCCAGGAACGACCACAGATGACTGTGCTTACAAGGTAGGTACGAGGCGTGTGTTCATGTCTCCTGACTAACAAAACTCTTACACCCACCCCAGCCATCCTCCTCTCCCTCTTCCTCTCCCTCTTCCTCTTCCTCTCTTCCTCTTCCTCTTCCTCTTCCTTCTTCCTCTCTTCCTCCTCTACCCTCCGAAAACAGTGACAAACAATAATAATTAATACTTTACCAATTTAAAAACATTTTTCTGTTTCCTTACCATAATTCCTCCTAATATAACCTCCTCCTCTTCCTCTTCCTCCCCCTCTTCTCTTCTTCCTCTTTTCTTCCTCTCCTCCTCCCATGTACATACTCAATTAAAATACCTATAAACAGAAGATACAAAACGAAGGCACCTCAATGAGACCTTCTACCATAAACAAAACGAAATACAAAACAATTCAGAAAATTCCTGTTTCCTACAGGTATTCCAAAAGTAGCTCCAGTCACTACACATTACGAATCCCACTTACACAACCTTCCCTTACTTACCTAATACACAACCAGAAATAAAACAAAATAACAATTCACAATATATAAATACAGAAGTACAAAAGACACATGTGCAACTCTTGCGGATCTCTTTCATAAAATCGAAAGAAAAACATTTCGCACACATGACCATTATCAATGAAGCCACTGTGTGGCTGACACAAGTTCACGATCCACTTAGAAATACTTCCATAGTTACCATGTTACACATTGTCAAAATGCTCTCTGAACATATCAATCTACAAACATATAAAACAGTGAACGACAGTGTGTGTAAAACCCATTAAGATAGGAAACTGAAACACGGGTAAGAAAGGTCTGTATATATTTCGGTCTAAGAGACCATCTTCAAGAGTTCTGCTGAAAATGGTATATGAATTAGACCGAAATAAACATTTATCTTTTTTTTTTAGGCATTTCAGTTTTCCGTTCAAATTATTTTTTTGTTATCAGTATAAAAATTTATGTTAAATCAGCTATTTTTAAAAAAAAGCGAGTTAAAATAGATAGAGAAAGCTCAAGAAAACAAAATTTTGGATTAATAGCCTGAAATAAGGCAGGATAACCCAGAACAATCAAACAGTATAACTTATTTCCATTATGATCCTTCGGTCCCTGTCCCCAGGATGCCACCCACAACAATCCACTAATACCTGGGTACCTATTACCTACTAGGTAAACAAGTGTAAAAGGTGTAATAGGCATAACCCCCCACTCGCCCCAGGACTGAACCCGGGTCATTCGACTGTGACCCAAAGGCACTGAATCACAAGACACATGTTACCTATTTAATGTTAGGTAAAAGGGGCAGCAGCAGTAGCATTCAACCTATATTTAAACTAAGCTTTAATAATAATAATAATAATAATAATAATAATTGACAGGACGGTGGGAGGATATCTGACAAGTGAATCTGACTGGATGGAAGAGGCTGGTAAACTGGCAGCTGTCATACAGGAGAACGGAGAGACTGTCTCTCTTAACCATATGTACTGGTAAGTACCTACCAGCAAGTAGCCACTGGTAAGTAGCTACTAGTAGGTATCCACTAGTTGCTACTAGTAGGTATCCACTAGTTGCTACTAGTAGGTATCCACTAGTTGCTACTAGTAGGTATCCACTAGTTGCTACTAGTAGGTATCCACTAGTTGCTACTAGTAGGTATCCACTAGTTGCTACTAGTAGGTATCCACTAGTTGCTACTAGTAGGTATCCACTAGTTGCTACTAGTAGGTATCCACTAGTTGCTACTAGTAGGTATCCACTAGTTACTATCCACTAGTATTTATACAGTGTTAGAACTAACTAGAGGCACACAGGCATGTTAGGAAATACTTCTTCAGCCTCTGGATGGTAAATATGGGGAGTGAGCTACAACAACTAGGTACCTATTTTCTGCTAGGTGAACATGGACACAGGTGTAACTAGATTAACACCTAGTACCTATTTACTGATAGGTGAACGAGGGCAACAGGTGTAACTAGATTAACACCTAGTACCTATTTACTGATAGGTGAACGAGGGCAACAGGTGTAACTAGATTAACACCTAGTACCTATTTACTGATAGGTGAACGAGGCAACAGGTGTAACTAGATTAACACCTAGTACCTATTTACTGATAGGTGAACGAGGGCAACAGGTGTAACTAGACTAACACCTAGTACCTATTTACTGATAGATGAACAAGGACAACAGGTGTAACGAGACTAACATCCAGGTACCTATGTAACAGCAGCAGTAGTAGTAGTATTGGTGGTAATGGTGGCTGTAGTAATACTAGTAGTAGTATTACTACTAGTAGTAATAATAATAGTAGTAGTATTACTACTAGTATTAATACTACTAGTGGTAGTATTAATACTAGTATTGCTACTGTAGTAGCAGTAACTGATGTCTGTATTATCCCTCTCAGGGCTGGCTACGACTCGCCCTGGAAGTTCTGGTCTCGCCGTAATGAAGTCTGGTTCCCAGTATCTTAAAACCAGTAGCCACGCCAAAAAGGGGGCTGACTTGCAGGGGGACTTCAGCCCCCCTCCCCCCCCCCAAAAAAAATCTCTCAGTCGACCAGAACCCTCAAAAAAAAAAAAAAGTAACAGTAATAACGCTGTTTCCAAACAAGTTTCGTAGCCTCGACTTCAAACCAGACAGCAATCTGTCATTCCTAGTGTAGAAATTGAGTACTTTCTTCTGAATACTTTCTTTTGAGTGTTTCTGCATTGTACATTATAGCAGAATTTTGTGTTTTTTTGTGCTTGTATCATTAAAGGACCGTTATAAAGATTCTGGAACCATTTTAATAAATGTGAAGTAAAACTGATCTTATTGATATATATATATATATATTATAATATATATATATATATAAACACTGATCTCTGGCTGAAAGAGACTCGAACCTACGAATCTTAGAACAAGGTACGCAGTGCTATACCAATCTACCCACACAGGACAACGTGTAGCTTACGCTACACGTTGATCCAAGGCCTTAACTTGAGCCTGACTATCCTCATAAAAAGTCTTAAGTTTCAGTAAGGTATCACGTATTCCATACACTTGCAACATTGCTCCGTTATATACCATATCATATACCTTTTCCAAATCCATAAATGCAACAAAAACTTCCTATCTCTCTATATTGTTTACTTATATCCTTACCTGGAGTATACCTGAAGAGAGCTTCGGGGGTCAACGCCCCCCATTGATCTATGAGACTCAGCCTAGTGTATTAGGGAGCAGGTGATACGACGCAGTTGTATTAAATCTATTGCCCAACACTTGCATTCTGGCGACAGAACTGGAATTATCTACGCGTTTGCCACTGTTTTTTACGCTTGTGGCCATCCAGCCTCTGGGGGAGGGGAATTATTATATATTATTGGGGAGAAAATTACTCCACATATATGTGTTGTGAAGGCCATGGTGATATTCTGTTGCTACGGTGATACACTGTTGCTACAGTGTACACTGTTGCTACAGTGTACACTGTTGCTACACGTCAACCTATGGCTTAATGATGCCAGGATCTCTGCTAAGATCACTGCTAGGATCTCTGCCAGTGGCGTTGCTAGGGTTGGTGACACCCAGGGCGGCATCTTTGGTGTCACCCCTCATGAAATCCAAGGGCGGGGGATGTGGGTAGTAAACTCCAGTTACGTCACTACTGCATGACCATTTAAGTCACTACTGCATTACCAGTTAAGCCACTACTGCATGACCAGTTACGTCACTACTGCATGACCAGTTACGTTACTACTACATGACCAGTTACGTCACTACTGCATGACCAGTTAAGCCACTACTGCATGACCAGTTACGTCACTACTGCATGACCATTTAAGTCACTACTGCATGACCAGTTACGTTACTACTACATGACCAGTTACGTCACTACTGCATGACCAGTTACGTCACTACTGCATGACCAGTTACGTTACTACTACATGACCAGTTACGTCACTACTGCATGACCAGTTAAGCCACTACTGCATGACCAGTTACGTCACTACTGCATGACCAGTTAAGTCACTACTGCATGACAGTTACGTTACTACTACATGACCAGTTACGTCACTACTGCATGACCAGTTAAGCCACTACTGCATGACCAGTTACGTCACTACTGCATGACCAGTTAAGTCACTACTGCATGACCAGTTACGTTACTACTACATGACCAGTTACGTCACTACTGCATGCCCAGTTACGTCAATGCTACATGACCAGTTACGTCACTTCTGCATGACCAGTTAAGCCACTACTGCGTGACCAGTTACGTCACTACTGCATGACCAGTTGAGTCACTACTACATGACCAGTTACGTCACTACTGCATGGCCAGTTAAGTCACTACTGCATGACCAGTTACGTCACTACTGCATGACCAGTTACGTCCCTGCTACATGACCAGTTACGTTACTACTACATGACCAGTTACGTCACTACTGCATGACCAGTTAAGCCACTACTGCATGACCAGTTACGTCACTACTGCATGACCAGTTAAGTCACTACTGCATGACCAGTTACGTTACTACTACATGACCAGTTACGTCACTACTGCATGACCAGTTAAGCCACTACTGCATGACCAGTTACGTCACTACTGCATGACCAGTTAAGTCACTACTGCATGACCAGTTACGTTACTACTACATGACCAGTTACGTCACTACTGCATGCCCAGTTACGTCAATGCTACATGACCAGTTACGTCACTTCTGCATGACCAGTTAAGCCACTACTGCGTGACCAGTTACGTCACTACTGCATGACCAGTTGAGTCACTACTACATGACCAGTTACGTCACTACTGCATGGCCAGTTAAGTCACTACTGCATGACCAGTTACGTCACTACTGCATGACCAGTTACGTCCCTGCTACATGACCAGTTACGTCACTACTGCATGGCCAGTTAAGCCACTACTGCATGACCAGTTACGTCACTACTGCATGACCAGTTAAGTCACTACTACATGACCAGTTACGTCACTACTACATGACCAGTTAAGTCACTACTGCATGACCAGTTACGTCACTAGTGCATGACCAGTTAAGTCACTACTACATGACCAGTTACGTCACTACTACATGACCAGTTAAGTCACTACTGCATGACCAGTTACGTCACTACTGCATGACCAGTTACGTCACTACTGCATGACCAGTTACGTCACTACTGCATGACCAGTTACGTCACTATTGCATGACCAGTTACGTCACTACTGCATGACCAGTTACGTCACTACTACATGACCAGTTAAGTCACTACTGCATGACCAGTTACGTCACTACTGCATGACCAGTTACGTCACTACTGCATGACCAGTTACGTCACTACTGCATGACCAGTTACGTCACTACTACATGACCAGTTACGTCACTACTGCATGACCAGTTACGTCACTACTGCATGACCAGTTACGTCACTACTGCATGACTAGTTACGTCACTACTACATGACCAGTTACGTCACTACTGCATGACCAGTTACGTCACTACTACATGACCAGTTACGTCACTACTGCATGACCAGTTACGTCACTACTGCATGACTAGTTACGTCACTACTACATGACCAGTTACGTCACTACTGCATGACCAGTTACGTCACTACTACATGACTAGTTACGTCACTACTGCATGACCAGTTACGTCCACTACTGCATGACTAGTTACGTCACTACTACATGACCAGTTACGTCACTACTGCATGACCAGTTACGTCACTACTACATGACCAGTTACGTCACTACTGCATGACCAGTTACGTCACTACTGCATGACTAGTTACGTCACTACTACATGACCAGTTACGTCACTACTGCATGACCAGTTACGTCACTACTGCATGACTAGTTACGTCACTACTACATGACCAGTTAAGTCACTACTGCATGACCAGTTACGTCACTTACTGCATGACTAGTTACGTCACTACTACATGACCAGTTACGTCACTACTGCATGACCAGTTACGTCACTACTGCATGACTAGTTTACGTCACTACTACATGACCAGTTAAGTCACTACTGCATGACCAGTTACGTCACTACTGCATGACTAGTTACGTCACTACTACATGACCAGTTACGTCACTACTGCATGACCAGTTACGTCACTACTGCATGACTAGTTACGTCACTACTACATGACCAGTTAAGTCACTACTGCATGACCAGTTACGTCACTACTGCATGACTAGTTACGTCACTACTACATGACCAGTTACGTCACTACTGCATGACCAGTTACGTCACTACTGCATGACCAGTTACGTCACTACTACATGACCAGTTAAGTCACTACTGCATGACAGTTACGTCACTACTGCATGACCAGTTACGTCACTACTGCATGACCAGTTACGTCACTACTGCATGACCAGTTACGTCACTACTGCATGACTAGTTACGTCACTACTGCATGACCAGTTACGTCACTACTGCATGACCATTAGTTACGTCACTACTGCATGACCAGTTACGTCACTACTGCATGACCAGTTACGTCACTACTGCATGACCAGTTACGTCACTACTGCATGACCAGTTACGTCACTACTGCATGACTAGTTACGTCACTACTGCATGACCAGTTACGTCACTACTGCATGACCAGTTACGTCACTATCTGCATGACCAGTTACGTCACTACTTGCATGACCAGTTACGTCACTACTGCATGACCAGTTACGTCAAAACTGCATGACCAGTTACGTCACTACTGCATGACCATTTACGTCATACTGCATGACCAGTTACGTCACTACTGCATGACTAGTTACGTCACTACTGCATGACCAGTTACGTCACTACTGCATGACCAGTTACGTCACTACTGCATGACCAGTTACGTCACTACTGCATGACCAGTTACGTCACTACTGCATGACCAGTTACGTCACTACTGCATGACCAGTAACTAATGTTTAACAATAAGAACGTTTAAGGGCCATAAACCGTACAGGAGAATACTTCTCAACTTTATTAATGATAAAATAAATAATGGTAGTAATACCGAAGAAACAAACTCCAATATCACTTTGAGTACACCAACACATCCAACAGTACAGCCAACACATCCAACAGTACAACCAACACATCCAACAGTACAGCCAACACATCCAACAGTACAGCCAACACATCCAACAGTACAACCAACACATCCAACAGTACAGCCAACACATCCAACAGTACAACCAACACATCCAACAGTAAAAACCCAACACATCCAACAGTACAGCCAACACATCCAACAGTAAAACCCAAACAAAATCCAACAGACAGCCACACATCAACTTAAAACCCCAAAACCCAAATCCCAAAAATCCA